TTGTATAGGTTAATGATCGTTTTTTCTTTAGAGAATACTAGGTGCTGTGCTATCTTACAATTTATAAATAGATTTTTCATGCGGCAAAAACAAAAATTTAAATTACTATACTGAATGTCAGATACCTAACATTAAAAATAGCATTAGTTAATTGATAATACTCAGAACAACAAAATATTTTTTCGCTATCGTTTCCATTTTTAGAGTTTCTACTGTTACGCGCTGCTGAGTTAGGTTTTTTCGTTGTTCTTGAGCAATTCCTGATTGTCCTCCATTAAAAATAAAATTTTTTAGGAAAATGCAATTTCTGAATTTGAAGTCGACCATACTGTTTTAAAGAACAGCTGCAGTGAAGTTGCTGTCTGCGCAAACGGCGAAAAGTATAGCAAAATATGTTATTAAATACAGTTTTTTTTTATTCCATGGACGCTGCATTCTCCAAGTATTTTTCAGATTTTTTTGGAACAAAGATGCCTGTGTATTGTAGGGTAAAATCCTACACACGGTACTAGTTCGTGTATCTAACAAATGTTGAATAGGACAATGTTTATAATATTCTTGTACGTTTGGATTGTGACACCAAATAAGTAAATTAGCTTGTATATAGGTACACCACGTAAGTATTTATTATTCGTACGTGGTGTACCTGCAAGCCAATTAACTTATTCAAGACAATGTTTGTTGGTTCGCTTTCTTCCAAATAATTTTTCGTAACATTTTGGTTAGCGCATGGATACTTGGTATTATTTCAGAAAATATTTTAATTTGTTCCTGCCATTAAATGAATTGGTTCAAAAAGAAGTTCGAAGAAAGTGCACGTTGGTTCTACCAGCTTGTTTTAAAAACGTCGCTAGCGGGTATTTAATGTTTTGACTATTGAACGTTAAAGTTTGAATATTAATACTTACGCCTGGAACGAAACGAGATTTTTCGTGGAGAACAGCGTGTGATGGAATCACTGATTTTCTAACGCACATCAAACACTGGAAAATAGCTGCTAATTGTTGTGAAAAATTACAAATACATGTCAGTTAAAACTTTTTGTCAAAACTGTGTCTATATACACGAATAAAGCTTAACAAAAACATTTCCAAGTCAAGATTATATAATGATTATCCACGATCTGCGTATACGTTAGCCCAACGCGGATTTAACGTTTTACACAACTTGGCGCTTCATGCAATGAATGAAATATAATTTTTAAACATTTACGCTCTTTTCTACCATCAGAACCATGCATTTTTTTGTTCTACGTGAATCTTGTGTTTATCCACGCTGAATTGCTAGAACTTCTTTTGTATAAGCAAAGACTAAGAAATCAACCCCACGTACGGATATCTGTCTAATAGATCCAAACAGAACTTGTAAGTACCCTTCCTTAAACTAAACTACAAAATACGAAACAATAACCTATGCTAAGATCTATTTTGTAAATCAAGATTTTCAAACGAACCAGTAAGCTCATCTAATGGTGGTAATACAACAAAATCAGAAAACATTTTGCGAGATTTCTCTTTTATCGTTTCAACATCATGTTTTTGAAACATCAAATCTTCCCCGAAAATTGTAAACGGAGCCCCACCTACAAATGATCGGTACGCCTCTTCATCGCGCTTTTCAAAGAGTTTCTTTGTCATCTCTAGCGCCTCCCTGACTGATGATTCATGCAGCAAGTGATTATAAAATGCTTTTATAAACTCCGTTGTTGCATCATAATCACTGTGCCTTAGTGTGGTAAGAACAGAGCGAGCTCTGCTGCAAGAAAAGACAGAGCTAAAACTTCAACACCTTCTGGAGATATTTCGTCTTGCTCGGAATGACACAGGCATAAAACAACCAAGCCACCTTTCAGAGAAAAGCCCTGAACATCCTGGTGCGTCAAAATGTCATTCTGCTTAGCAAGAGTCAAAGAACCTTGATTCGAGGAGACACATGGAGAAAGCATTATTGCACATTGCTTAGGTTCAATATGTGCAGAGATATGGATAATACTTGCCCCGCTCAAAAGTCCCAGCAAAACCTGTTTCCTGGCTTCGCCCTCCACGAAGGCCTTTGCTTTGAAAAGCTTTGAAAGAGAATGAACTTCATCTGTGGCTTTAGGCAAGTCTGACGTTGGATTACCAACAAACAACGCAAAACCACATTCGGGCAGAGTTTCACTGGATTTTTCTCTGATTGTTTTAATTACGCCTTTTGTAAACATCACATCATGTCCAAAGAGAGTAAATGGAGCCCAAATTAAATAGGAGCGGTAATCTTCTCTCTCGTGTTGCTGAAAGAGGTTCATTACCCTTCTTAAAGCTTCACAAACTGGTGTTTCCTGAAGCAGTTCCCCGTACAATGCTCCCATAAACTCCTTTGTTGCATCATCACTAATGTCCCAGAGTTTGGCGAGAACAGAGCGAGCTCCAGCAGCAAGAAAAGACCGAGCTATACCTATGACACCTTCTGGAGAAATCTCACCTTTGCTTGTGTTAGAACAGCATAGGACGACCAAGCGGGCTTGCAATAAAATACTTGTAATATCGTTCTGTGTGAGGAGATAGGAATCTGGATTAGGAAGAGAAGAAGATGGTTCATTTAAAGAAAGGTCGGGAGCAAGCATTATTTCCCCCCTCTTTAGTTCACTATGAGCAGCAATGTGAATTATACTTATACCGCTTAGAAGTCCGAGAATAACCTTTTTTCTCGCTTCAACTTTTACGAAAGGCCTTGCTGTGAAGAGCTTTGAAAGACTTGCAACTTCCTCAGCTGCTTTAGGTAGATCAGTGGGTGTAAAATCTGTGCCATACAAAGAAACCTTCCAAACTTTTGGATTACCAACAAACAACGCAAAACCGAGGTGAGAATCATCGGGATGTTCTTTGGTTAACGTCAGAGTGTGTAATGAGGGCGTTACTTGAATGCTGTAACTCTGAGATAAATACCTCCCATTTTCATCAATCAGAGACGAAAATGGTACAAAAAACAGTGGCCCGTGAGGAACAACAATGAGCTTATTTCCTTTGACGGCATCTCGTATCGGTTGAATGAGAAAATCGAAAAGTTTTTTCAAACTAGTTTCATTGCTGCAATTATCGACGCTCGAATGTTTTTCGTGCAAGCCTTCAACCTTTTCTTCTTTACACGGCATGGCTGGCGGTGAGACCATGTGTGTCTCAAAATTATACTCATTCGCAAGTGAATCAAGTTTAAAAACACTTCTCGGTCTGGAAAAATTCATCACAAACGCCCATATATTCGATGCATCATGTAAGCACTTAAAGGTGACATCACTATTCAAAACCCAAACTTTCAGAGACCCTTCATTTAAATCAAACGCAAATAACACTATTGAAATTTCATCATTTTTTACGTGAAGAATATTCTGTATTCGCTCTATTTCTCGATTTTCTTCCCTTTTCTCAATTTTGCTTCATATTGATTGTGCGTAATGAGACAATTGTGCATCGAAATAATTTTGTTTTCTTTCAATAGAAAAATGGAGCTCTTTAGCTCTTCCCAGATCAGTCACTAATAATCCTGATTCTATGCGCCCCAGAGAAACAAAACAACTCATTAACTCTCCATGAGCTCTACAGAAAAAACTTGTGAAGGAGAGTTTGTTTTCATCTGGAACCGTATTTTGGAACTGCTCCTCAAGAACTTTAATAAGTTTTACTAAATATGATGATGCCAGTTTATATTCTCCTAAACTCTTATGAACATTTGCAAGTTCTTCATAAATGCCTATTCTCATAAACGGTTCGCCAATAACAGTGCTTATTTCTAAACTTTTTGTACAATGTTCAATGGCTTTTTCATTATCACCTAACAGTCTATATATGACACCGATATCTTTGTTGGCTTCTGCTATCCCTAATGGCATTCCAGCCGTTTTGGCTAATTTTAAACTGTCTTTGTGATAATTCAAAGCCTTATCAAATATTCCTAGTTCACGGTAACAAGTTCCCACGTTGCCTTTGATCATGATTATGGCGTTTTCGCCCGCTGCTATGAAAATTTACATGCTTTCTCATAAAGTCAATTGCATTTCCATTTTTTGGATTTAAAAGAAATATTACCTGAATAGAAATGGATTTTTGCCATTAATGACTGATCACCAATAGCCTTGGCGATTTTAAAGCTATCTTTTATATAGCTATGGCCTTTCATTCTCTCCCATTCTTTCATAAATCACAGACAAGTCACAATTGGCTTTCACTATACCTGCTTGGTCACAGATCGTCTTTGCTATCTCTAAAGATTTTCTGTGCCATTCGATGGCTTTGCTGTATTCACCTAAAGAGCAGTGAACACGGCCCAATTCGTTACTGACATATTTAATTCCATTTTGGTCATCAATAGCATTATATATGTTTAAAGCGCGATTCAAGTAAGCAAATGCTTTTTCATATTCACTGAAAAAAGAATGGATGTGTCCTAAACGGCTATTACTTTTAGCTATTCCTTCCTGGTGGCCAATGGCGGTGAAAATTCTTAACGTTTCTTCGAAACATTGAAGTGCTTCTTCATTTCTTTTTAGTTTAATGTGACAAATGCCTAATTTCCATTTGACATTTGCTGTTTCCCCTGATCGCCCATTGCTTTTCCATTTCTAATGTTTTCTTATAATAGTCAATTGCGCTTTCCCACTTTTTCTTACAACGATAAAGATCACCTAGATTTCTATTCTGTTCTGCCATTGATGACTGATCACTAATGGCGGTGCTAATTTCTAAGCTGACTTTCAAATAGCTAATTGCCATTTCATAGTCTTTCCTTCTTTGATAAAATCTCCCCAAAGTCATATTTAACACCAGCTATCCCTTTCTGGTCGTCAATAGCGGTCATAAGTCTTAACGCTTCTTCGAGACATAAAAGTGCCTCGTCGTTTCTTTCTAGCTCAATATAAGAGTAGCTTAAACTGCGGTTGGCCTTTGCTATTATTTCTTTATTGCCAATTGCTGCTCCTAATTCTAATGTTTTTTTCCAATGGTTAATTGCGATTTCCCACTCCCTTAAGGAATAAAAATATTACCTAACTGGCGATTGCTTTCTGCCATTAAATACGTATCGCCAATGGTCGTGCTAATTTCTAAGCTTTCTTTCAAATAGCTAATAGCTTTTTCATGGTCTTTTAATCTTTTGTAAACATCTCCTAAATACATATTAGCATGAACTATACCATATTGGTTGCCGATTGCCGTTGCTATCTGTAACGAGTTTCTGAAACAGTTAATAGCCTGGTCATAATGACCTAAATTCACGTAAGCGTTTCCCACATCGATACTGTTTTGCACCTCTAAAGCGCGATTTGAAAACCTTCCCAAACTCATCTTAGCATCAGCTATACCTTTCTTGTCTCCAATAACGGTCATAAGTCTTAACATTTGTTCGAAACATTGAACTGCCTCTTCATTTCTTTCTAGTTGACAATAACGACTTCCTAAACCACGATTAACCTCTGCTATTCTCCCTAAGCTCAAATGGCAGTCGCATAAGTTTCTGTGGCTTACGGCAATGTTTCTACGATCATCAGCAGCAATACCTTCTTCCAAGCCTTTTTTTAAGTATTCAATAGCCCTTCTTTCTTCACCTGAAACTTCATAACAAGCGTCAACAAGCGCGCGAATATTTGCAATCCTTGCTTTGTCCCCAATTGCAGTACTTGCATCTAGAGCTCTTTTATAACTCTTAATGGCCTCTTTATATTTGCCTATTTCACAATAAACACGGCCTAAACCTTCATTGCTGATTGCTACTGGAAACTTATCCTCACTAAGTGATAAACCCTTTTTGAAGCAGTCTATAGCATTTTGATATTCTTTCAATCCAATATAAGCCTCGCCTTTACTTGTGTGAAGAGCGGACTCGAAAATAGCGAGTTCTAAATCTTCAATTTTAGTTAAACTAGTACTTTCAATGGCTGTTTCGTAACACTCAATTGCCTCTTTAAACTTACCTGATTTCAAGTTGTTATCTCCTGAACGTGCGATGCATGTAGCTATTTCGAGATGATTCGTCATTCTGATGTCTTCTAACTGCCCAATATTTAGCTCCTTGGGTTCCATCACACCTGTTGATTCACTTGTCTAAAAATTAATGTAGAGTACAACGCGGTATAATTATTAAAAATGCATTTAAACAATTATATATAATTATTAAAAGAACCTTTTTAACCAGGGATTAAAACTATATGAAATTAGATAGAGATGAAATCAAATGCAAGGTTTATTCCTGTAATTTGATCTGCATTCGTCAACAGCCTATAGTCTGGTGTCAAACTTCGCGTATAGAGCTAGTAAGGCAGATCGAGTTGCGTGTCAAAAACAAGGGCTAAAATTCAATATAGTTTAATACAAACAAATATTTTACATTCTTGTAATTCGATTTCGAAAAGTGGCTTCATTTTGCAGTTATTTACTATTCCTAGATGGTCTCTAGCGGCAGTACATGACTACATGTCTCCAAAGCTAAATTAAAGCAGTTAATAGCCTCTTCATAATTATTATTGGTCCAATTCAAAATAAGAACGGCCTAAATTTTCGTTGCCATGTGCTACTTATATCTAATCGTCGCTAAGTGATACACTTTTTTTAAGCAGCCAATAGCTTTTGTATATTTTCTCAACTGAATTTAGGTATGATATTTTCTGCAGTGAATTGCGGCGAGTTCTGCATAATTTTCAATTCCATTGCAACTTTTAACGCCTATTCCAAATACTCAATTGCCTTCTTATACCAACCTAACTCCAAATAGTCATCTTCCAGAAAAAATGCGCTAACCTTGGGTTGAACAGTGTTTTAAGGGGCTGTTTACATGAGCCCGGTTACCCGAGATTAAACGAAGCTTGAGATGATTTTGAGGTATTGAAATGAGCACATAACATGATCCTGGCCGTCGTATAATCACCGCAACAATAGCATGTACTTGTTTGGTGTCATAAAGACTTATTTCAATACCTCAAAGTCCTCTCACGCTTCGTCGAATGTCGGGTAACCGGGCTCATGTAAACAGCCCCTAAATCGGTGACTTCTATGAGTTAAGAAAATATTTATGAATAAAGATATTCGACTTTGTAAACAAGCAATTAATGTGAAGATTCGCTTTCAGATAAAACAAACGAAGACGCTGTTCTTGTATAAGAGTTAGATTCGGTCATGAGAAAGACAATACTGTGAAACAGAAGCGCAGGCAACTTTTTTCAGAAGGTTATTCTCTTCCATCTGCCATACTAAAATGTTCCGCGTCGTTATAACTACGTATTAACACTATACAGCTGTTCTACACTTTGTGAGGACGGGGGGGGGATTCTTTCTGATATTTTAGTTTAAAGTGGTTTACCTCACTAAAAATCACGATTTATGCTATTTTAAGAATTTCAACGGTTGCAAACTTTTTTTTTTCCTGATTTAACCTGATTTTTTTTTCCAAAAAAAATATATAAAGAACGCAAGAATAAAACGAGTTTTATTACTAATTTGGGTTTTACCGTGGGCAAACAAAAGGGGTCGATTGACTTATTTTATTGCTTCATTGTTCTATTGTATTATTCTCTATGAATATACCAAACGTTTTTCGTCGCTTTTCTTAGCAAACTAAAATTCTCATTCTTCATTTCTCAATAAAGAATCAGTTTTGATGACAGAGGAAGTCGAACTTAAAAATTAATTATATCAATCGACCTTTGTTGTGTACAAAACAATCCAGTGACTGTCCGTCATACGATCACAAATTAAACCAATCTTTATTCAACCAGTGTAAGGGATAAGACATTCATAGATGGTTTGAAACCTTCCATGTCTCGTAATAAAGATACTTAATTAGAACGTACTCCTTATCTTTTAAAACTGTTTTAACTATACCCAAGAATGTCAACAATTTACAAAACATATCTCCATCAAATTCACCAAATTTACTGCAATTCTTTGAACCTTACATTCGCGTATTTACAATTAGTGGGATTGTCAATATTCACTTAATTCACTGGTTAGCTGGGATGCCTTACAATCTTTCATTTGCGGCTTTCAATTTTAAACGAAAGGTTGAAAACGTAATAATATAAGACAAACAAGGACGCGGCTCGTTTTTGACTGGATAAATCAAATTAAAATCGATCGTGAGAAAAACAATTCAGTGAAAAATAAAAGCGCAAGCAATTTCACAATGAGAAACTATACGTCCTACTTACCTCAGATATTTTTCACCTTTCTATTCTCTTTCACCTTTCATATTAAGATGTTCCACCACAGACTAAAATTATTTCGTATTGTCACTCTTTTTATAGTTGTTTTACAAAGAGCTGTCTTTGAGAGGTCAAGGGAGGACATTCCGTGAACATTCAGTTTAATATGAATATTTAGTGTTACGAAACGATTACGTTGTTGAAGAAGCTGTCGTTGTTGCTAGACCTATCACATTGCTGGATTTTATTTGCCCGTGCAAATTATGCAAATTCGCACGCGGGAATAAAAATCCATACTATTCATGCGAGGGGCAGATTGCGACTAATCGTACAGATGCATGGGCAAGTTGTCCTTGACAAGTTTTCTTGACCAGTTCACTTGCTGGTGTGTATGACAAACAAGTTTTCCTTGCCAAGTTTTATTGACAAGGTTTACGATAATATGAGTATATTATTTTTATATTAATAATTTATGAGGCATGATAAAATGAGTATACGACCGAATCTCAAAACAAACAGAAATGATAAAACTCCAAAAACCCTCTTGATTGGCTCGAAGATTGTTGCGCTGTCCCCTGTTGAGCAATTCCTTGTCAAGTTTCCTTCCTTGACGGCCGTATACACGAATATTTGTGCGAGCGAAATTTTCCCAACCGTGCACCATCACGAATAGACACTGGTTGAGTAGCCAATCAGAATGTGGGATTTGTAATAGACAACAGTCGGGTGTATACTAAAACTGTATAGAAACACGGAAAATGGTTTCTATTTCTTAAATGTATATATTATAATATATATATATATATAATATATATATTATATATATATATATATATATATATTATACATATATAATATATATATATATATATATTATATAATATATACATTAATATATATATATTATATATATAAATATATATATATAATTATATATATATATATATATATATATATATATATATATATATATACGACATCTTGAATAATGCTACTCAAAAACAGCCGAGTATCAGTTATAGTTATTCTTCGCATCACAGTTTTAGAAGAGTTTTACTGAATCTAAGGAATTTTAGACTTACATTTCAAGGAATTTTAACAAATTGGAAGTGAGATTGCCGCCATAATTTTAAATGTATTCTCGCACGTGCATGTTGTTCTTTAAATACGCACAACAAATGAGATCTTTTAACATTATCCGAGTTCCAGATGCAAGATACATACAACAAACAGAATGCACTCTTTTGATGTGATCAAACAGGGCAGCCTGGACTTGTTTTAACAGGTAGCTATGTTTGCTATTAAATGTCTTAAATCCTCTTGTGTTTGTCTCATTTGTCTGCCTGGGAATCATGTGTTTGCCTGCCTGGGAATCATGTGTTTGTCTGCCTGGGAATCATGTGTTTGTCTGCCTGGGAATCATGTGTTTGTCTGCCTGGGAATCATGTGTTTATACCCGCCTGGGAATCATGTGTTTGTCTGCCTGGGAATCATGTGTTTGTCTGCCTGGGAATCGTGTGTTTGTCTGCCTGGGAATCATGTGTTTGTTTGCCTGGGAATCATGTGTTTGTCTGCCTGGGAATCATGTGTTTGTCTGCCTGGGAATCATGTGTTTGTCTGCCTGGTAATCGTGTGTTTGTCTGCCTGGGAATCATGTGTTTGTCTGCTTGGGAATCATGTGTTTGTCTGACAGGGAATCGTGTGTTTGTCTGCCTGGGAATCATGTGTTTGGGTGCCTGGGAATCATGTGTTTATACCCGCCTGGGAATCATGTGTTTGTCTGCCTGGGAATCATGTGTTTGTCTGCCTGGGAATCGTGTGTTTGTCTGCCTAGGAATCATGTGTTTGTCTGCCTGGGAATCATGTGTTTGTCTGACTGGGAATCGTGTGTTTGTCTGCCTGGGAATCATGTATTTGTCTACCTGGGAATCATGTGTTCGTCTGCTTGGGAATCATGTGTTTGTCTGCCTGGGAATCGTGTGTTTGTCTGCCTGGGAATCATGTGTTTGTCTGCCTGGGAATCATGTGTTTGTCTGCCTGGGAATCATGTGTTTGTCTGCCTGGGAATCATGTGTTTGTCTGCCTGGGAATCATGTGTTTGTCTGCCTGGGAATCATGTGTTTGTCTGCCTGGGAACCATGTGTTTGTCTGCCTGGGAATAATGTGTTTGTCTGCCTGGGAATCATGTGTTTGTCTGACTGGGAATCGTGTGTTTGTCTGCCTGGAAATCATGTGTTCGTCTGCCTGGGAATCATGTGTTTGTCTGCCTGGGAATCATGTGTTACAAATGACAGTTGTATTTAATGACCTTTATTCATGCTAAGATTCCCAAATCCATAATAGAATATTATTTTATCATAATATATTTAATCAGAATTCAAACTTATAAGTTAGATGAATACATTGTAATTATTAACTGCACAAATGCCATAAATGACAATGAAATTACTAGGTGATGTATTGTTTATGATATATACTTTTCTTGTGTAATTCTTTTGTACTCATATAACCAGAGTTAATAAACCATATGCCCTATTTACATTGCACATGATCAATCCATTGACACAGCACTGTGAACAATCACATTACCTAAATTTATGTGCTCGGCTTTGTATATCACAGTAACCTTAGCACAGATAATTCTGATTAGTCCATGATAAATAGAATCAACAAAGTAACCATTTTGATTCGTGAAACAACAATATATTATAATTATTCGAATATTATTATATGGATGATTACATTTTTATGGTGATGCTATATCCGTATACAATACGACTAAAAAAACGACAAAGAAATCAATTATTTTTTCTATTATTTATGACCGATTTGTGCTAATTAAAACTATAAACATCGATTAAAATTGAATCTTTACTAACTCGTTCA